TAGACCAAGGCTTACATATCCAAAGAGAACAAAATTCAACTGCTTTTAACCTAGAAATAATGCCACAAATCAATGGCAATACAAGACTATATTATAAACTGACATATATTAAACAACTTCTTCCAACCTGAACTTAAAATTGGAAAGTTGTCTGAAGCTAACCATGGCAAGATACATTCATTCATTTTAACTATAAACCCATATTCTCTACAGCACAAGAAAGATTTTTTTTTTTTGTCTTCAAATGACTTTCTCTTTTATCCTTATACCTTCTGATAATATTTCACATCACAACTCAGAACAGAGTCAATAGCACTTTCTCAGGCTGGTGCTAGCAGAACTCTCAAGTCTTGTGAAACTAATTTTTTTCCAGTAATAATTTTGCTCTTTATCTATTAAATTCTTGACTCAAACATATATTGCTTTTTTAAATCATAGATCAGCTGTCGAGTAACAAGAATAAACTTTCAAACTATCAATGGTCCAATATATAGTGCTTTAAAGAATACAAATGCATAAGCTTATTCTTAAAAAATTCAAATGACACACGAGTATAAAATAAAAGACCCCTTTGACCTCTTATCTCTTTTTCTCTGGATGGTTAACAGTTTGTTGTATATCCTTTCAGATATTTTTGTGTGTTTAAAAACAATTAGTTCATTTATCTGTTTTCCATATATTAGGATCATGCTATACATTTTGTTTTATTTGCCGCCTTTTCAATTCACTGAAATGTCTTGCAGAGCTCTGTCTACTCCTGTGGATCTCTCTCAGACATTAGTAAACTATATTTTGTGGGCTGAATTCAGCCTGTAGCCTGCTTTTGTAATTTATTCATTTTTAAAAATGTATTATTTACGGTTGCTTTCATCCTACAAGGGTAGGGTCATGGCAAAAACCTGATCGGATACAAAATCTAACATCAGTTCCATTGTAGAAAAGTTTAGCAACACCTGATCTATCCTATTCTTTTTAGTATTGACCCAATATTTCATCTAATTCATACACTATATTTTATCTGAAGGCATTTAGGTTAATTTCAACTTTTATACATTATAACTGATGTTACCATTAATCTAAGTACCAAGAATTATACTTTGAGAACAACTTTAAAAAATAAACCCAGTCTGAAGTCATCAAGATTTTCCAGGATATTTGGCCAGCTTTTACCTTATTAAAGCAGACAAGAGAGCAGAAGCCATTTTCCTCCTTTACTAATAAATATAAAGGCTGGGGTTGTGGTTAGGGGTACAGCACTTACCTAGCAAGTATGAGGCACTGAGTTTGATCCTCAGCACCACATAAAAATAAATAAAAATAAAGGTCTACTGACAACTAAAAAACTTAAAAAAAATAAACAAATACAAATGTGAATAATATGCTGATGATACAGAATACTAAAATATTTGAGAAGTCTCCACAGAGAATCTTCAACAACTATTGCTATTCCTGAGGGTTTTTTTGGGGGAGATGGGCAGGTTGCTAAGGATTGAACCCAGGGGTGCTTAACCTCAGAGCCACATCCCCAGCTTTTAAAAAATATTTTATTAGAGACAGGGTCTTGTTTAGTTGCTTAGGGACTCACTAAGTTGCTGATGCTGGGTTTGAACTCTCAATCCTCCTGCCTTAGCCTCTTAAGTCACTGGGATTACAGGTATGTGCCACCATACCCGGTTTATTCTTAAAGTTTTATTCACTTACTTTTTATATTTACCCAAATGTTATAGCTTGTTTCATTATAGATTTTGTTTTAAATTTTTAGTAATTTTCAATATCTTCTCTTGCCCATGTATCTGTTAAATGTTCCCTAAAGTGGTTTACTTCCTTATATGGCATCTATGTATTTTATTGTGTTCTCAGCTTCTTAGGATTTTCTTCCCTCCATGGTAGCCTCTTGGTATATTCTTTTGTCAAAGTTATCACACAGAGCAGTTCTGTATTTGTTTCAGTGGTAGATCCTTAAACTAGGATTCACTAAATCTCTTGTGAAATTCCTTAGTTTTGGGTTTAAGCACATATACAATTTGGGTCCCCAATTCATGCATCATTTAGAATTTTCACTCAGCATCCTGGGGAAATGGTAAGGTCCCTTGCTGCTTTTTAAGGCCAGTAGGTGGAATTCTTCTAGGCCCTTCATCATAGATCTTAGTTTTTGAAGCATTTCATTTTATCAAGGCTTTCAATTCTAGCTCCTACTATATACTCCAAGGCTACATATCCTGTCCCTAATCGAGGGATTTTTATTGTTGTTGTGCTYGGGATTGAACCCATGGCCGTATGCATGAGAGGCAAGCACTCTACCAACTGAGCTATATCCCCAGCCCGAGGGTTATGTTCTTTTCTGCTCTGATTTGATTTCACTCAGGGGATTTTCCTTTTGGCAGTTTCAGCTGTATATTCATTAACATATGTACATACACACATATGTGTTCACATATATACATACACATACATATGTATACATACATATATATACATTTTACCCAGCATTTTTATGTTGTGAAACAGAGAGTAGGTATCTAATTCTGCTTTAGTGATGAAGCTCCTTGAATATAAATTTAATGATGCCAATAGAAAAATATGGCCTTTTCCAAGATCAGTATGATCCTTTGGAATATGGCAAGAAATTTCTACAGCTCCCATTTAATTCTTTCTTTTGGAGAGGCAGGGGCCAGTGCTGGGGAAAGAACTCAGTACCTTTTGCAGGCCAGGCAAGTGCTTTACCACTGTGCTAAACCCCCACTCCCTAGAGCTGTCATTTTAATCCACTTCAAAGAAAAATGGTGTCTCACTCACTTAATCTTTATTAGGCAGCCTCCCTTTATATAATGGTACTAGAGGTCTCCTGAGGGAGGAAGGGGTGCTCCTTACTTCAGAGGTGGACTAGGGATGCACAATGCAAATGTGGAACCCACCTTTTGCTCACTCTATTTGTGATAAATGGAAATACATAGATACCCAATTAAGTGGTTTGTACTATCTTGTTTAAACAAAAACAAAATGAAAGAGAGAGCTAGCTACACAATTCCTCTAAGAAGTCATGAATCAAAGACAATATTAACTGTACTAATAACTGACAAGTAAATGGCAAATTTGAGGCTTCTTTGATTCWTAGAATGAGCTCTTCATTAAGTATACAAAGACTCCTGTAAATTTTACATTAAATGTATATTCCCTGTGTAAATATCTTAAAAAATGTTTTAATGATAAACAAGCCTAAAAAGCACTAGGTGTCTACTACTCTAAGTAAACAAGTCATTCTAATACTAAGAAGCAGACTGTGTCTAGTGTCTAAAAATCTAAACTGTAGACATCAACTGGTGTTCTAGGAAAGAGTACTACTAGAACATGGGTTCTAAAATAAAAATATTGAAGGGCTACTGGACAAAGAATGGACTCTTATTTCTTAAAGGTCACAAGATACTCATCACCATATAGTAGAAATTTTTGATTTTGTGGTAAGTCACCAGTGAAGGGTAATAGCAATGTGTGTGATCTTTGTCTACAGGGATACACAAAGATTTAGATGAATGCTTCCAAGTGTTTGTTTGTTTTTAAATAAAACAGCAAAWTGAATAGGGGTGTAGACTATTTTGGAGGTGTAACATCCACAGAAACAATTTTACAAGAATGTTTGGGATAAAGCCAGTCATTTAAAACTCACAACAGCTATAGCTATATAGATAAAAGAGGTTTTGAGTCCTTTGCTACCTGCAGGTTCTTTGCTGCTCTTATTCAAGAAAGCTAGTAAAAATTATTATAGAATTAACTTCTGTCCAGATAAAGTTTTAAAAATTTACAATTTACAAATTAACATTTTTTTTTTTTTTTTTTTTAGTAACAGATTACTTAGAATATTCAACACAAATGACTAAAAACAAAATGTTATGACATCATGATCTGGGACTTGATCTTTGGAATTTGAGTTTGTCATTGTTTTGGTTACAGGTATATTATACTAATCACCTTGGCCTTCTAAGTGATTTGGCTGGCCCTGGGACAGCTGGATCTCCAGATAGGTCGCCTCTGACCAAAGCAGACTCCTTGATTTACCTCTGTACGCTCAACAAAAATTATTAATTTCTAGGTGTGCAATGAAAAACTTTTGAGATATAATGCCTTATAAGCAGATTTGCAGATTACAGTGTGTGAGCCAAATCTGGCCTGTAGCCTATTTTTGTGTAGCCCAGGATGTATGAATGTCTTTTACATTTTAAATGACCTGAAAAAATAAATTAAAAATATTTCATGACATGTAAAAAGTGTATGAAATTTAGATTTTAATGTCCATAATATTATATTATATAATATTAAATATCCATAAATGATGTTTAATTTCATCAAAGCCATACCCTTTAATTTATATGTTCATGGATAATTTTGTACTTAAGTGCAGAGTTTAGTAGCTGTGACAAAAACCAGATGACTCACAAAGCCTAAGATATTTATTATCAAAGTTCTATATAGAGAAAGTTAACTGACTCTGGCCTGAGAGTATCTTATCAAAACCAGGAACCCACTCAGTTAACAGACTTGCCTCTGAGATGGCTGCAGGAAGGCGAGCAGTGGATTGGCACAGAGCACCTGTACACAAAGGTCCTGTCCCCGGTGGCAGTCATTCTGACTTAATGTTGGCAAGTGGCTGAAACATATACTGAAGGACTAGATTTAAAAGTGGGCATATATGGTCTAGACAAGGGTGACTTTAGGGTTCGAGGCTACTGATAACTCTGATGCTGACACAGACTTCCGGAATAGGTGGTGGTTTATGAATAGAAAGACAAGAGTATTTGCAAATGGGGCTTTTGAAAAAAAATACAGATTGTATATTAGATATCTGGAATTAATTTCTTCACTGATGTTTGAAGAAAAATGTAAACAGGGCTACTTCTCCACATAAATGAGGAACAGATAAGGGGTGGGATGGACAGGAAATTAGAAATGAGCTTTCCTGAGCCAAGAGAGGTTCATCTTATGAAAGGAAGAAGCACATCTCTTACTTGCACAAGTGTAGGCGTCTCTGTTGGTGAAAGGCTTCATACACTGGCTACAGTTGATGGGACCCACAACAGGAATGGAACTGAAAGTGTGTCCATTGAGAGTCTTCTTGTCTTTCTCCTTTTCTTTAGAATCTTTCTCCTTCTCTTTAATTTTATCTTTCTCTTTTTCCTTTTCCTGCCAAAGAAAAGATCAACAATTAATAACAATTTATACAAGTACACTGTAAGGTCATCCCCCATTACCTGAGCACCCAAATGGCCTATGGGTGGTTGGTGACTATTTTAGATAAAACTGGGGAATAATGTTCTGGGCATTTTTTTTGAAAACTGCATTAGAAAAATCATATGAAAACTGGACAGGTTCCACAGTTTGGACAGTGGCTCACTCAGGGTTATTTATACCACTAGATACAATGACTAATGACCAACAATGGGCAATGAGGGGTCTCCTCGGTATGCCAYAGCATAGTCCACATAGGAATAAAGTATTGAGTTGAGGGTCAGCTTTAGGCAAGGAACAAAAAGGAATAGTAGMAATTCTGGGTTAGCTTATGGAAAAGGACAGATAATCATAAAGCATGAAAAATTACTGAGGCTCCTCTGTTTTTCATACTAGTCACATATCCCTAAGTGAGGAGCGTCTCTGATATTTCCTCCTTATTATAGCCCAAATTMCTAAATATCCCCCACATATACAGTTTTCACTAATTAGAATTCCAAGATTAATAGATATTATATTCCTCTCGTAGTCAAATTGGGAAGAAGAGGTTGCTCAGAGAACAAAAAATTGCACAGTTCTTAAGAATGTGGACAATGAAAAAAAGGAAAACCAATCAAMMAACCAACCAACCAAACAAACACAAACAAACAAACAAACAACAACAAAAAAACGACAATGGAGTCAGGCCTGGGTAAAAATCTTAAGTTCTACTGTTACTGCTTATTAATGGTGTGAAGGGGCACAAGTTAATTTGCTGAACCTCAGTTTCCTCATTTGTAAAATGAGGAAGGTACCAATTCCATGTTTTAAAAAAATTAGATAAGACAATACATGGAAAGCGTTTTTTAGTGTCTGGCTCTTAGCAAGCAATTATTAAATTGTTATAATAAATTATTCATACCTCACTGAGCTTCATTAGTTTATTACTTTCTTAGTGCAACATAGAAATATTTCCCTGGCAGTGAGAGAAAGAAAATTGTGACATGAGGAAGGAAGACAAAGAAAACTGAAGAATGGCAAAGACACTGCTGCTGAGCCAGGAAGATAGGGGGTATGAAAAAGATGAGAGGAAGAAATCTTGTTGACAACCACTCTAAAAACTACCTCCTTTGTCCCCTCAGCCTAGTTACCCACAGTGGKCACTTCCTTTAAGAAAATGGGTACCCAGAGAAAGGAAGTTCCAAGGCCTAGCTGCTCACTCCTCTGCCCTGAGGCCCTATAAGTAAAGGTGGCAGACTGGCTATGGTTTGAAGAGACAAGGTATCCCAATATCTGCTCTCTGATCTTCTTTACAATGTGCCCTTCTTTTCACAAGGTCATCCCTCACCTGTCAGGGGGAACAGGAAACTGACATGTATCTAAGTTTACTGTGTGCCCGGCCTTCTGGCGACTGGGCAGACTACCTGGGCCAGGTCCAAGGCTCAGGGGATACTGGAAAACTAGAGACTAGATCCAATGAGAAAAAGGTTGCCTGGATTGGGTGTAAGACTTCTGAGTACCAGAATGCTTGGTGATGTTATCTCAAGACAATATAGAAATGTCAAAAATGACATTTTTGGAGACTGATTGAAAGCAGAGGGCTTTCATGTGATGTCAAATCTCAATCTAAGAGGGGTTGTTATCAACACTTATACAGGCACAAAAAGAAATGGAAAAGAATTTAAACCTTGAAAATCTGAAGAAATACTGCAGAATACCAGATACTTAATGAAACACATAAAATAGGGACATTTCAAGCAAACACTATATGGAACTGTGGGGACCTAAAGTTTTTCTCCCTAAAAAGTTCTAAAAGAAGCACTGCTTGACAAAGCACTCAGCTGGCTAATCAATAGCAATGGAATAATTTCTTTTCAAATCAACTGAAAGAACTACAATACATACTGGCAGGAGTTTTACTACTGCTGTATACTATTGTTATCATCTAGATAAACACCTGGAAAATGGGTTCCCCAGTTAGTGATCATGACAACTACTAAATGCCTAACATTTTAAATCAATGCCTTCTATATAAATTATTTCATCTGATTCAATAACTCTGAAGTGGGCAGGGTAGGTTTTAAGATTTCCATTTTACAATTGAGAAGATAAATAAGTTAAAATTCTGAAAAGTTGCTACGTACCAAACATTGTAATAAGTGACTTACATAAGTTTCTCACAACATCCCAATGAATTAAATACTAGTTATCTTCATTTTACATATGAAGAGACTGAGGCTTAGAGATGTTTAATAATCTATTTGAAGCCACACATCAACAATTGCTCAAACTGGAATTAAGATTCATTATTTGAATAATGAGGAAGGGAGAAAAACTACTTCACATTACAAAAAAAAAATTAAATACTAGTTATCTTCATTTTACATATGAAGAGACTGAGGCTTAGAGATGTTTAATAATCTATTTGAAACCACACATCAACAAYTGCTCAAACTGGAATTAAGATTCATATTTGGCTGACTCTAAAGCTGCACTCTCATTCATCATACCAGCCATCAAGGGCTGGAGAGATCTGTTAACTTGCAAAAGTTCACAAAGCAAATGGTTAGCAGTCAAAATTAGAACCCAGGTCTTCTGACTGTCTGTTCAGAACCTGTCTACCATACTGAAATGGTGAATATTTGATGCATGTGAAGTCCTTTATTAACAGAACACACAAAAACTGAGCACCAAAATGCTATGTTTTCCAACTATACAAAATAATAAGAAGGGAGAAAAACTACATTACCAAAAAAAAAAAAAAAAAAAAAAGGAAACTGTGCTAGGTGAAAATTGGCAACTGTTAAAGTATACAAAATTCTAGTCAAAATAAAAATCAATAACAAAAATTGAGTTCTTCCAAATAGCTCCTTTTTTTCAACTAAATTTTGTTAAAGGTTTCTCCATGCATAAAACATCAAACTGAAAAGCATCTGATGCTTTGCTGAAGAAAGCCAAAAGCATGCTGTAGTAGTTAAAAGAATCTTCTATGACAATTAGTTTATTCTCTAAAACCTTGTAATGTTCTTCAAATCAGAATAAATAATTCCTTCAACCTTTGCAGCAACTCAAACTAGTTCTTTACGGATAAAAACAAAACCAACTACATTGTTTCATCTGTTTTAGAATTTGACTCTTACCTCCCCATGTTTTGGTCCTGTGAGTCTCACTGTTATGAGGGGCACTTCAGGAAGCCGACCCCATTTTAGAGACATGATTCGACCCCCATGCCAGGAAATGTGCTCTCACGGAAGGAGGGGCTCATGCCTGCAGGGCAGAGCTCAGCAGCTTTGCACTGCCACTAGTGAAACCGTAAGAGGAAGCCAGAGACTGGTTGAGAAAGGGAAGGAGGGAGGGCTGAGGCTGCTGGTTTCCTTAAGACAATCTTAACTATTTGAATGCTGCCTAGTAAAACTACCCCACTAATAAAAGACACAGGAAATGAAACAAAGCTAATCCCCCCAAATACAGTGTATGTGGATAGTGCTTGCATTGCAATAAGGCAACTCTTGCAAAGGCTGATGGTGTTTTTAATGCTAAAAGGAATATATATTTATTTATTTACTTTCAAACTCCCAATTTTATAAAAAAGCAGAATTCATAAATGTTTTTAGTGAAGTTGCCTATGAYAAAGTAGTGGTTGACTGTTTTCTTAAGTTTGACTTGTTCACCTTTAATAACTGTCAAAATGTTTTAACTATGTGTTTTGGAATCAGACTAACAGTATTTAAAAGGGAAAGGTATCGGTAACAACTATGTTACTATAATAGGATAGATACTATGAAAGAAAATGTATTTTCACTTTTCTAAGTCTTTCTTTTTAGGCAAGTAACTGTAGTTAAAAAAAAAAAACGACAACAACAACAGAATGCGCTGGACAACTGTGAAAACAATGTGATTAAACAACTGTCCAGGTACAAATCTTTAATTAAAGAAGAAAAGAGAGAATTAGACTTAACATTGTCTTAAATCTTTATAAACATTAATGTACTCTGCTAAGAGTACATTACCTTTGAAAATCTGATAGGCTGATGGGAATAGTTCTTTTTTAAACAAACCATAGGAGCTGGAGTTGAATGTTTTGCTGTAAAGGTCATGTAGTAYATTAGCTGAGCAGGAATTTTACCCATGTACTCCAAAATGCCTTTGTTCAGTTAGACTAAGAATTGGTTTACAACGTTATCTAACCATCTTTTAGCTGTCTCTGCAAAGAGGAAAGCTTAGCAGGAGAGAAAACTAGAGCAATAGGATGGTCAATCCACTCTCTCTATGAAACTGAACATTATATTTGAGTGTTTTAATATTGCTAACAAGTAAACCTACTTAGCTGGAAACAGAACTACCTCTCTAAGATACTAAGACAAAAGCAGAAACTATCAGTCTTCCTGTTATACTTCCTGTTTAGGCTCCTCCACTCCTTCCTGAAAACATTCAACATATTTATCCAATAGCAAATCAGTTATTGATAACTCTCAAAAGGACATGTGAAAGAACTGATAATTAAATTTCCTTTACAGGCAAAATATACCAGGAAYGTGAATAATTTGCTGTCTAATTAAAGAAGAAAGGAGAGAATTAGACTTAACATTGTCTTAAATCTTTATAAACATTAATGTACTCTGCTAAGAGTACATTACCTTTGAAAGTCTGACAGGCTGATGGGAGAACAAATGAGTTTGGGCTTCTTTGAATATTTTTAAAGAAGTGTTTACAGTCAAAATTTAATATATTTAATGTAATAAATCTAGGCTAATAACTATAAGCTATTTTTATATAAACACATATCACGCAGAAGAAAAGCAGAAATTTCCAAACCACCCGTAGATAAGAATTATAGGTGCCAATTTAATATGATATTCAGTAGCTTAAATTTTTCCTTTAGAAGAAGCAGGCATGGTTACATTTGTTCAGGAGATGAATAAGACAAGCTGACTTTGATAGCATATACTTAAAAATAATTAGAAAGAAGTGAAAATTTAACATTTTCATAGAAAAGTTAGTGTTAACATTATATTAGTTTTTTTTTTGAATTTTTAATATTTATTTATTTTTTTTAGTTTTCGGCGGACACAACATCTTTGTTTGTGCTGAGGATCGAACCCGGGCCGCATGCATGCCAGGCGAGCGCGCTACCACTTGAGCCACATCCCCAGCCCTATATTAGTTTTTTATCATTAAGGAGAAGTAATATTATTTAGTAGTTAAGAAAAGAGAATGAGAATCATCATGCTAAAAAATATATTTATTTATTCTTGTGCTATCAATTAGAAAATAAAATGCTTCTGTATGGCAAAGTTCTTCTGTGGACATGTGGCATCTTAAGACAGGGAAATTAATGTAACTCAACACAGCATGTATAACTTCACTATTTCCCCATTTTTTATTATCTTTGCTGACACTAACAAAATCCAAGCATTTCTACAGGAAGGTTCATAACAATCTTATTTAAAAGTTAATAAAAACTAACTATGAAAGATGATGTTTTAATATACTTGGCCACTGGGGCACTCTTGATACCTGATAATGGAAAAGAAATTGCAACCCAGGATTATGCATCTGTAATTTTTTGAGTTTCCATTGCTAGAGACAGCACAGCCCCCAAAGATCAAATCTTTTTTTTTTTTTAAATACACATTTTTTTTTTGAGAGAGAGAGAGAGAGAGAGAGAGAGAGAGAGAGAGAGAGAGATTTTTTAATATTTATTAATTTTTTTTTAGTTCTCGGCGGACACAACATCTTTGTATGTGGTGCTGAGGATTGAACCTGGGGCCGCACGCATGACAGGCGAGCGCGCTACAGCTTGAGCCACATCCCCAGCCCCCAAAGATCAAATCTTGAAGTCAAATCCAAAAGAGGAACCAGTCTCAATTACAAAAGAGTATTGTCATTTTGATGAAGGAGATGATCAGAAGAAAGAGGTCAACTGCTTCTGCCAGTGATGACAAATTTCCCTCTAACAAAAATTGTCAACTTTTCTTATATCTTATCTCAACTCCCTAACTCTAATCCTCTGAGATTAGGGGAAAAATTATAAAGAAGAAAAAAGGAAAAATATATACTGCTTAATAATAGACGTTATATAAAAGTAAGCATGAGGAGCTGGGGAAATGGCTCAAGTGGTAGCCTGCTTGCCTAGCATGCGTGAGGCACTGGGTTCGATTCTCAGCACCACATAAAAATAAAATAAAGGTATTATGACCACTTAAAACTAAAAAATAAATATTAAAAAAAAAGTAAGATGAAATGACCAGTGTTGTTTGCTGGTCAAATCACAAGAGGTACTGCCTTAATAAAGTTCTGTGGCTTGAAGCATACTTCTCTGTGCTTCAGTCTGTTAAGTAAGGAGGCTGGGATATGATTTTCTTAAAGGTCGGGTTCCAGTTTCTAAATCCAGTCTTACACCGATTAAAAAAAAAAAGTCTTGTTATATCATCAACATCAGTGGTATATTCACTGAACTCTTCTAAAAATCCATGTAATTGGGGACATTGATAGAAACAGGAATCTACTTACTCACTGATCTTCCAATTAAAAGTTTGTTTGAAAACAAGATTTGTAGTTTAAAAACACTATAAAAAATTCTAAAATCATTCAAATTATATCATAAAAATTTTCAAGGTCAAGGCTGTGAGCTCTAGAAGTTAATATTTAAATATGTGATTAAGGTAGAAATGAATTGCTAGACTGCATCTTTTCCCAGTTGTTGACTCTCTCTTCTTTTGCAATTGGGCAGCATAAATACAGAGAAGACACAATTCTGAYAGAAAATTTTATGGAAAAATTCCTTTGAGTGATGACTTAGTATTTGCTAAAAAAGAGATCTTATTCACAAAAATCTGTAAAATACATTGGCTTTAGTTCTATCAGCCCATTTAATTGAGGGTACAATAGACTTAGTGCTGAGGTAAGGGGGTATATTTATATAACAATATCCTTGAGTTCTGTGCTTATTCCCTCAACTTCTAAATGTGTTTATGTATTTATACATATTTGTATACACAACACACAGATGAATACAATGATTCCTTATAAGAGTACTTTGATTTCAAATTTTTGTTTACCTATTCTTAATTGTACGGGAGCATATGTAAGTAGGTGAATGGAGTACAGGGGAAATGGAAGGCAGAAAGTTTCTCACCACTGATTTAAAAATGTTAAGAATATTTATTTCTATGTGGGGTTATCACACGATTTTTATTTTCTTGCTTTTGTATTTTGAAGATTCCTAAAATAAAAATGTAAGAATAAACTAGATAAAAAGTTGAGACTAAATAATTTCTTAAGCACTAAAGAGGATATTAAATTAGTTTTAAAAGTTCTTGTAATTTTCTGTGTGAGAATTTTCTTCCCTCTAAACCCAAGCACTATATATATTTTCAGTCCCCTAATCTTGGCATTAAATCCTTCTACTGCATYTTAAACCTAATTTACTAATTTAAGCACTGTGGCTACGAGTGTGGGACCAGAAGTCAAAGAAATCTAGGTTTGAATCTCTATTTCCACATTAGATAAGGTATCATACTCCGAGAGAAAGGAGGTAAGACCTATCTTACAAAGTCATTGAAAGGATTAAATAAAGCAATATATGAATGGCCCTTAGCATGTAGTAAAACCTCAGTAAGTAGCCTCACCTCTTGCTGCTGTTTTTTATTACTATTACTTTTCTTCATATACTAGGCTGTTTCAGAGATGACCCTGAATTTATTTCCATTTATGATCCCATCATTTAGTTAGCTTTTGGGTGTGTGCAGGCTGTGACATGAGCTTACTCATTACCGACTGAGGTAGTCACACAAGGAATGCCCACTGTGATACTTACCTTGCTCTTCTTACTGCTGGACATTTTATTCCTGATGTAGCTGAATGTACGACTGACTTTTGTTCCACTTTTCCCTTCAAAATCTTTCTTGGAGGGGCTTTGTGGCAGGAAGTTATAGTTTTCTTCAGTTATACTAAATAAAAACAAGATTGAGTTTTTTTAAAAAATGTTTTTTTAAAGGACTACAGAAGTTAAATGGAAGAATAAGAGTTGTACAGAGGCTGCTGAACAGTTTTATATACTATCTAAGAACAAGATTATTAATTATTGTATCTCAAACTTCTTAATCTAAAATAGCACTCAATCTCTAAACTACTTTGTAACAAATAGACTCTCGAAAGGAAATTCTGTATATATAATGGAATAAGAGTACTTAATTAATAAGGGCTGTGAACCAACGAATCTTATGACTGACTGCATATCCAAGTTGCTTAGTAGTAGAGTTTTGCACATATTTTCTAGCCTTCTGGCACACTGGAAAAATCAAGACTGTGGACTGGTCCATGAGGCTATGCACAATTTTAGGAGGAAATATACTGAATATCAGGCAGATTCCAAGAAGAACACAGAAAGATAAAAGAATTTTTCAAAGATCCAGATTTACTGATCAAGTTGTTTAGGAAGCCTATATAAAATCCAAGTCCATCCAAGATAGGCATGTTTTGACCTTAAAAAACTCACAATGGACAATTTTCTTAAAGAATACTTAAATAATCCATTAAATGGAGAAATAATCCATTCATACTACCTTGTTTAGGTGTTTGAGAACAGTTATTTTACATCTTTCCTTCAGATCAAGCAGTATTGGCCTCAGTGAGAAGGCAGGCAGAAGTAGGACTATAATGTGTCCCCTTCAAAAGCTAAATTCTATTGATATACACATTGTTTACAAAACAAAGTAGTCTGTTTTTAAGATAAAAGACAAATGGCATAAAAACCAATGCTCTTGAAAAGAGAAAGAAAAGTTCCCACACACAACGTGTACATAAGGTCATGAAGTCAAATATACCTTTAAATGAATAAATGCACATACGAATCTTTATCACGAGGGCAATATTAAAGAATAAAAGTGGAAAAGTACTGAAGATAATAATTTAAAAAGATATAGTCTTCACCATGCATGTATGGTTTAGTCAAAATGAACCCAATTACTATGTGTAACTATAATGTTCTCATTTAGAAAAAAGAGAGATAACCTTCATTATAAAACTACTTCTGATAATTATTCCAAATTTACCATTCAAGGAAGTAAGAACCCAATGAGCTCAAAAGAGTTTTCTTAATTACATGAAATAGCATAGTTTGGATTTTCTTAATTTCATTCTGGGAAAATGAGTAACAAAATAAATGGACAGTACCTCTCAGTCAGATTAGCACTGGTGCTGTGGAAAGGCCGTGAATCTAGGAAACAAAAAAGGGAAAGGGAAAGTTAAAACAAAAGAATTTTACCCTACTGACAGATAAACTATCTCAAGATTTTCCCATAGCTAAAGCAACGTAGAGTTTGAAAGTCAGTGTATGGTGCTACCTCCCTTCACAGGTTTTGGAAGAAGGAAAAATAGAACTTGAAACCTTCAAATTAGAGCTGGAAAAAGATAGCAATATGGATTTCCCATGAATAAAATAAATTTATTTCAAGATTCAACCACCTGGGGAAAAAAAATCAACATTTTTCTAATGCTTGAACTYATTTATGTTCTTATTAATGTACAATTTCCACATTTCCACATGCCATTTTCCTAAATGATGTCACAGGGAGAATTTATAAAATAAAAAATTAAAATGTCACATTTTTCATTGTTAATCCTTCTTTCACATATTTATATACTAAAAATTTAATATTATCTGACATTTTCCTAAGAATTTCTAGAAACAGATTAGTGATCAGGGGGAAGCATCAGAGCTTGCTTTTTGTAAAGTCTTGGCCCTGCCTCTAACTTAGGGCAAGACATTTTGATTTCAGTTCATTCCTCAGTCTGTGAAATACTGGGGATAAAACAGATGATAAAGTCCTTCCAGGGGAAGAGTGATAACATGAATGGAGCAGATGCTTTCTTTCTTGTTAATGGAAGTAACCCATTAACAATCCAAGGCTAAATCAGACAGCAGGGAAACAGGGAGAAAAAACCCAGAAGGAACAGCATCATTATTTCCATCTATCATGTTAATGCAGTTTGAGTACTGAGGACTTGAAAGCAAGGTCCCAATCACAAAATGATAAATGGGTTTCAATTTTTAGTGAGACCAGGTATAGAAATACTTTCCATGTATATTCCAGATAGATACAGCTTGTTCAGTAAAAGTACTATTACCACATAGACAACATATACTCTTTCTCTTTGAGGTTAGATTCAAGGATCTCTAAGATTACTCTGAGTAAAAAATTTTAATCTGCTACAGATATGAAGATGTTCCACAACTAGATTCTCAGATTATTTTAAATTCCCCATCTGTTCTAGGATCTGAATAGAAATGCAAAATTCTAGTTAGTTATTACTATAAGAAATTTAAATAGTTAAATTTAAATAGGTGGGAATAATGCATTATAAACTCTAAAAATAATCCTTAATCTTCAAGAGAATGGCTTCTATGCTTTTTCTCTTTCTCTACTTGGGGATCTTCTACTTCACTTACAAGGCCTGGTAGCAATAGCCAGGTGACAGGAAAAGATCAGTGGGGCAAGAATAAGGATATCTAAGCTCAATACTCCAGGTTCTGCACCATTTAGGTATGAAATTATCAATGTACAATTTCCACATGCCATTTTAACCTCATGATGTCTTAGTTAGCAAAAAAAAAAAAAAAAATCAAGATGGTGGTTTTAATCAGTGGCTTTAAAATGATTCCCACTCAAGAGGACTTTGATGATAGAAGCAGCATTAAATTACCTCAGGCAGCCAGTATTCTGCTATACTTTTAAGCAAATACCTAGTAAGATGCCACCCTAGTGATAAAAATAAAATAAATATTGCAGAAAAATACTCAACCCAAAGYTTGGCAAGGAATAAGCTATTAGTAGATTTCAATGGAATAAATTAAAAACTGAACAAACGTGATTAGGTACTGGGAGAAATCTATGACTCCTGTAAGTATTCCCAACTTATTCACTGCCAATTTTTTTTTTTTTTTTAGTTCAGTTACTATGACTTCTTAGAGGTGTTCTGAATACTGATTATTTCACCAATGCCTGTAAAATTGCTAACTTTTCATTAAGTGTTCATAGTATCTGAGAATACAAAACAACCAAGGTTATATCCATGACAAAATCAGAGATTTTGGTTAAAGTTAGTCCAAAAGATATTATTGCAGGTAAATAACATTTTAACCAGATTATTTTGAAGGTGCAAAATAACATGCAGACCTATTATAGTATATACATACAAGGACTTTCAGCTGCAACTACTAGACAGTCAGGACCAATAATTTTCAAAATATGTTCCATGGAACATTTGTTTAATGAAATGTTATAGATAGCTGTGTACATTTATGATTTCCTAGTTGATAAAAATGGGGAACACAGCATATCAAATACTGCCTTGGAATTTTAGAATACACACATTTATCATTTTAAATCTGCTTAACCCAGAGATTTATTACTTTATTCAGGTATGAACCAACTCCTTCTTTTTTCTTCACCCACCTCCTCACCCTGCCATAATTCCCACTGGTGTTTTTGAATTGAAAGAACACATTTTGAGAAACACTAGACATTTGATTCAAAGGTTTCTTCATCAATTTCTATACTTTAAGGACTCCATCATGTTGGATTATTGAGTGACCAGTGGATTATAATTCTGTTTTGGTAGTAGAAAAAATACTATTGGGACATTGGTTGGTTTGTCATGATGACCTGGAGAATATTATCAATTCACTATGAAGAAACAGCTTTGGAGAATCTCAGAAACTTAAAGATGAACTCATTTCTATTCAAAGTTAAAGTGGATTTTTGTAACTTTCCTCCTATTACAGCTGGTAATGTAATGTAAATATATTTTTGTGTGTTTATTTCTCAAATATCTTTTAACAGTGGAAAAATTTACTGAACACTAATATGACCTCCATTTAAAACTAAGCTAACTAAACCAACTGAAGTTTGTTACTGTGCCCAAGACACTTTTATATAAAAAAAATGCAAAATGCTAGCCAGAGCAATACTAACACATTGCTACAATTATGGATCAGCAAGAGGAAGGGGATTAGGGTTCTCAATTACACGGACTTAAATGTTTTAGAGTCATAACGTAAGTTATATARAATAAAAGAAATTCATTATTTAACTTTGTAATAGAAATTTGTTTCTATTAAAAACAGCAATCCTGTAATACTGTATAAATTTTGTACAATAGAAGACAATCATTTTCCTGAAGGGGGATCCATTTCCTTTCTAAGTTTACTAAAACATTATCTTATAATGTTTTTAAACTAGGTTTTATTAAGACTATATTCACCTGAAACCTCTAGTTTGCCAAAAGGACAGAAATATAGATAAAATAAAAGTTCAAAAGGAGACCCATCCCCTAATCTATAGRTGCTAGTCTCAAAGTTAAATTATGTTTTTAAAGAGATGTTCTGAAATGGTGAGAGAGAAAAGAAAGTATAGTGTTAGGAAAGTATAGTGTTCTGGAAAGATGCACGGTGCCTTGAACTCAGGAGGCCACTGGATTGATCAGGGTCAGTAGTGTACGAAAGACAAGAACTATTTCATCTCTATAAAATTTCACACATGAAGTCAAATGATTTATAAAAGATGGCATGCAAGGAGTAAAAGTTCTCAACTTTTCAGTACCAAGCCTACAGCATTTTTAGAGCTGGTCAGATGTTGGAGAACAGCCAGTTGACACCAAAGTTGCTTACTTACTATGCAACTCCTCCTCCTCATCACTGGAAGAAGAAGAGCCAAGAGAAAAGAGAGTTTTAGATTTAAGGAGGAGTGGAGAGATGCTGATGGAGAAGGAGATCCGCCTTGCTGGCTGCATCTGCTGCTGAGCTGAGAAGTAGGTTAACAGAGAGACATTAGTGCATGCACAGATTATGCTAAGATAAAGTAAAAGGCATCTCTGATCCATGTGGAAACAGAATGTCAATGACCTATGGGGTTCCAAGAAAGGCTATCTAGGTAAACAATGTAATTAATGTACTTTTAAATTTTTAAATATAGAGAATTCTAATGCAGTTAAAAAAAACTCGCCCAATAAATATGTACTTGTTAAATCACAGAAACATGAAGTAAGCTATTTTTAATGGTCACCATTCATAACTGGAGTTTTCTTCCTTAAAAGCTGTAGGGAAAATTTCTAGTAGCGCCTAAAAAGTCACTGGGTATGTATTTGGGCCAATATTTCACTTTTGACAACATTTGTGCCACAATTCCTCATCTGTGTTTAGCTTTCTTTTCCCCCACCCTAAAATTCATTTATCTCCACATTGTATGACAATGTGCACACAATATTCCAGTGATTAATATCTTTCTAATCTTTAAGACACATCTCTCCTTTCAGGCATAGACTCACTTACCTCATTGCTCTCTTACAGAYGAAATACTCCGCAGGCAGCTGCAACTAAACAAGTATATGGAAGAAGTTAACTAATCTTTTCCTGCTCCTGCATTTGTGAGTGGTACCTAACATCTAAYAAGTTACTCAAAATAGAAAAGTAGGTACCATCTTTGAATCCTTATAGCACTCTTCCTCAGAATTCTTGACTTTGTCTTCTGGGTCTCTCTGAACCTCAACCTCTCCTCTCCTGTTATTGCTCTAAATCTTGCTCAGATCACCATCCTATTGTCAGGTGAATCCTGAAAAAGCCTTCTACTGATCCACTACCCTCTACTCAGACACTTCCATACATCAAATTCTTTTAGTTGCTCTACTGTTTTCTATTAGACTCATTTGTTAACTCTGTAAGTTGCAAATGTGGTCAGGAAAGAAACTGTATCTGTAAGTTCATCCCTCTCCTACCACTATCTAGTTTGGGACACAGCAAAGAGTAGATACTCAAATATGTAGTGATAAATAAATACAACAAAGTAATAAATAAATTTTCCTTATCAGGCTCTAGGAATCTTAAGATTCCAAATGTAATCACACACACAAAAAAAATGCCCTGTACCTACTGGTATGCAAGCCACTCCACACCCCAGATAAATGCTGAATGATGTCAGACTATTTGTTGTCTACAGTCACTGCAGGTAACAGAGACCAAAGAAATGTTGGCACAAATAAATGTAGAGTGGCTTTTTAGGCAGTCATAGTCTTGTGTAAAAACTAAGATTACTGTAATGTGTGTCCTTTTAAAATACTTCAAAATATGAAGCAAATTTTGGAAATGAAAATGAGCTGCCTTATTATCTATAATCAAGGAGTATATTCTCATGTTAAGAAATCATGGATAAGTAAAAACCTTATTGTTATGAATATCTAAAAAATATCCCTAACATATATGAAAATCTTCAACATATATGGAAAGATGTTATGGTAACACAGTGATGTAAGTTTATAGTATACTCAAAGCAAACAAAATACACATATCTATGGTATACCATGCACATACATGTATATATCTACACAAACACACAAAGTCTTATAATTTAACCAAAAGATCAATAAAAAGCCAATTTATTGGATGAAATTTATTCTTTCAGACATAWTAATCAATGCTGCCTTCTCCAAATAGAACTAAGAAAATATATGTTTTTCAGTAAATTTCCATCCCACATTGCATAGTTAGAAATAGAGAGCCAGGATAGAAAATGGAGATGAAATAATCTCATTAGCACTGATGCCTAACTTTTCAGAGGCTCACTCTTAATCTCTGGTCATATGGGTTATTTATCATTTTAGGCCTAGTAGAAATTATATATTAATGCCAGTGTTCAGTTCTCAAAATGGACTTCGCTTTTACAGTGTACAGCAAGCTATATAATTATAAGACAGCACTCCCACCAAAACATGCATGAGAAACTGGGCAAACACACACTAAGTAAAGATATAAGAATGATCCCAAAGTTAAGTGTCATCTGTGAATACCCTTCTTGATGATGACAGTCCATGCAAACTGAAGGGGAAAATAAAATTATTAATAAGCACATTAGGTTAAAACATCTAGTGGGCATAATCTGCCTTTAACATTATCACTATTAATGTATTTAAAGAGTTCTGGGAAACAATCAAGCAGTTTCTCTATTGTCTACAGCATCTTCTGGGTAGCAGCAATGAAAAGTACTAAAACACAGTCTTGAAATGGAATAATCTATAATAAATGGATTATTCTGCATATGCAAATATAAAGTTTATTCTTAAATTCTATCAAGAAACCATTTAAGTTTGTCTGCTGGGAGACAAAAGCCCCAGGCATTCTCTCTCTGACTCAAGGAGAACAAATGCCATGAACACATTCGCTGGAGTGGATTCCCTCAGGGCAGTTCTCCTACTAATGCCTCAGGATAAAGCCAGCCCCTCAGCTATTCCCTGAAAAAAACGAGCCAGCAAAACAGAACTTGTTCTTTCAAGAAGGGAGCTTTTGCAGCTTTCCAGCCCTAAATAAGATGTCTACTTTCATCTTGGAAAATGATACAGAAATGTTTTGGTCACCCCCGTTAGTATTTTCTTCCACATCAATGGATTTTGAAACAGTTCCCAGCTTAGAAAAAAAACGCTACAAGTTTATCTGTTTTTTTCTAATCTAGCAAATGACCCAACAAGACACTTTTGACAATACCTCAAAGGATATACATTTTCAAAACTGCTCAAATGTTAACAGCTGTGAAAAAATGTGGTAGAAGCAGTTAGTAATTTTTTGAGGAGGAGGAGACAGAGCACAGATAAAAGCTGGGAAGCAGTAAGGTAGGAATGACTTCAAAGCATTCTGTTCCTAAACAAGCATGAATGCTCATAGCTACCTATGAGCATTCATGCTTGTTTACACAGCTACCTATGAGACAATGTTCTTGTCTCTTAACACTGCTTAAATTCTGGTCAGAGAAAAATCACTCCTTGGCACTGTTGTGGTCACTGTGAACCACAATATTCCATAGAGATAACAAAAGCTTATTATATCATAGGAAATATGCTAAGGCTCTAAATAAATTCACATWTAAGTCATATCACATTATTATTCTTATTTAATAGCTGAAATGATTTAGGAAGAGTTTCTGGAATAAGCTCCAAGTCTTGCAGCCATTAAGTGTGCTTACAATATAATATCAGGATATTTTAAATATCAAACTCTTCAGGCTTTAAAAATCAACTGTAGATTTAATGAYGACACTTTCCACTAGGAAAACCATAAACAAAGACGGACATGCAGAGTCTTCAAGATGTAGAAATGGAGGGACCTCTGACTCTGCTGCAGATTATGAAATATCCAGTTACCCTGATGCTTAAGGTACACCATATAGATTTTAACAATATTAATTTTATCTTCAACAGTCAGAATTTTAACATTTCCAAAAAGACTTATAGTCACATTTCTTTAGAAAAAGATAAGAAATACAATTGGGAATTTTATAAACTGTATATGGGAAAAACTAAAGTGAAGTAGTGATATAAACAGTGATTCATCTTCCAATTATAATATATGMCAATTTAGGGAAGTAAGAAATTAGTTATTCAAAACTAAATGAAGTGCATACTATAAATCAAAATGAGAGTACCATGTGCTGATGAAAGGATTAAAATCTTGCTTCAAACTCTACTCTTGACAATAGTCTACACTGGTTTAGGCAGTGAATAGGCTGGGTAGATAATTTCCCAGCAACAGGGGGGAAAAAATCTATATGTGCCAGAATCTGTAAAACAGTGTTTTCTGGGCATTAGCCACATTATTTATAGTGTTTGAATAGCAACTGAAAACAGAGTAAAAAACCATATTGCTTTTGGAGGAAAAACAATAAAATAAAAGTATTCCATCCACAAGGAAACTGTGTGTCAGATAYTATAGGAAAAAGATCTCTCTATGGAACACATTCTGTTGGAATTGGTTTTATTGGTTTTAATTGGTTTTTATAGGACTTCCATTGTGCCATAACACTTTCTGGTCACAGAAGGAAGGTGTACGGAGCTGAAAGTCTCAGAGTATTTTTCTGCATTTCTTTGGCTGTTGCACTCCATCACTCTGGCTCATCAAATCCATTGAAACTATAATTTCCATTCTCTATCAGCAAAACGTTTAACTCAAAGTCAAGTCAAAGTAGAAAAGGAAAAGCTATTTGTGTCACAGTTTTGTGAAGTTATATCTGTATCTTTGAAAATATATTATCAAGGCTGGGGTTAGTGTGGCTCAGTGGTAGAGTGCTTGCCTAGCACATGAGGTACTGGGTTTGATTCTCAGCACCACATATAAATAAATGAATAAAAYAAAGGTCCATCAACCTCTTAATAGTTAAAAAAAAAAGAAGAAAATACATCATCATTAGGCATAGATTTGTATTTGAAATGCTAATCATGTGAAAATAAGGACAAATTTAACAGAATCATCCATTTTGTCTTAATTCCCCTGTGGAAATTAAAAAGATTAGGCTTGCAGTAAGCTATGAAGTAAGAAAAAAACATCCCACTGATATAGGGAAGCTGTTTTGGCTCCATTGTTTCCAACTGAGTTATAAAATCAGGAGACACTAAAAAAACACCATGGATACAAACAGCTTGTGTTTGCTCCTTTGCTTCAGCATCCAGAATACTTGGCCTTTCAGCAAAGAATATCGTGCATCACTCACTCTTTGACTTAACCTTTATATCAAGGTCTCATATTGCAATTACTTGTTTAAAAAATATATATTCATTCTATCTATCTATCTATCTATCTATCTATCTATCTATCTATCTATCTATCTATCTTTTGGAGGAGGTGTTTTCAAACATGGTGCTTTTCTATGGCATTTATCCAGTTCAAATGTTTCTCAGCATCTTTTATCCACAAACACCCTGTGTTTATGGATACCACGACATCTCTATGTACCAACTCTACACATCAATGGGCATGACTCTGCATACAATTCCACTAGTGTTCCTCCTGGTACTGCTTCACTAAAACTGAATTTCGGTTAGTCTTTGCCCTTCATGAGCTTAACAGTTTTGATGTATTCAAGTCAGTTACTTGTTGAGGGTATCTCTACTGATCTTTATTAACTGAGGAATACTTTCAAATTAAAAGAGATTAAAGAGACATGGCCACTTAAAATTTGACATACGTTCCTGGATTAGGTCCTAGATGCAAAAACAGGTGAAAAAATTTTAAATACGAATAAGGGATGCATATCAGATAACATAAATTTATCAGCATTACATTTCCTGATTCAGATAACTGTTCCATGGTAACATAAAAGCACATCTTTGTTAGGAAATATACAATAGATTATTTAGAGGTAAAAAGAAAACATTGTGATACATACTCTATCAGGTGTTTCAGGAAAAAAGAAACTTAAAGAGTGATAGAGACTGAAAAAAAATGAGTATTATGGTAACATTTGGGAATTCTGATGAAGAATTTATGAGGCTTCTTTGTACTGTTTTTGTAATGTTATATGTGTGATGAGGGTCATTTGCATTTATTTTTCAAGTCTGAAATTATATTAAAACAAAAAGTTAAGAAAACTGTCAGATTTACACCCAAGAATATAGTAAATTTAATGTATTAAGGAGATTTTTTTTTAAGTGGCAAAAAAAGGAAGATTCCAAACTCTGTTTCCTTATCTGTTTAAGTGCTGAACCATTTATTCAGAGAAAGAARCAGGCAAATTTTGGAAGTTAATGTTATAGGACCTTAAAGTAAGAAATATGATAAGAAAGTGGATAAGATATGTTTCATTTTTCAAACAGTAATAATACTTACTGTCCAATCCAGGATGGCTGATTGTCATTAAGGAGATGGATTTTGTCAATGGAGAAGAAATGGCTGATGTGCAATAATTAAATCCCCGTTGCTTAGGTCTGTGACATGTCTATAAAGTACAAGAGTAAAGAACAGGTACTAAGTAGACCTTCTAATACTTCTTGACAAGCACAGAATTTATGCTCAGACATAAYCCTGTGAATTAAGGCAGATTAGAAGGGAGCTAAGAGCATTCTTCCTAGTCAGATAGACTTAGATTCTAGTCTGCCTATGTCACTTAGTAACTGCTTAACTTCTGAGAAATTACTCAGGTTTTCTGAAGCAGAGATAAAGTAGTCATCCTTTATAGTGGTTTCAGATCTCTCAGAGCCTCAAATAATATCTCAAACTAAGTAAGTCCTTAATGAATATGTGCTAGATTCACAATTTGAAAAAAAAAATGATTACTCTGGAAATACCAAACTACATGTGGTACCTGTTCTTTGAAAACTATCTATAGAAATTCAGAATATTAGTAATATTACTTTGATTTTAAAGAGTTGAAAACTGAGATGGAAGTAAAAGTGTTTAAAGATCATAAGCGAAACAGCAGAGCGTCTGGAAAGAACCTCAATCTCTTTCATTTCCTCTTCTAAGATAAGACTGATTCTACATGAACATGAGGGTGACTGAAATTCAGTAACTTAACTCCCTGAGTAAATTTACAGCAGCTTCAAGGCCATAAAATCCAACCAACTGCAGAAGTTCCTGCTCAACATCCCTGAAAGTTAGACAGTATCACRCTTCTGGTGGTAAAGGGCTTCCTCCCCATTTCTTTTGAGAGAGCTCATTCTGTTAACCAATGTTAATTATCATTAGTCTCTTCACTATTTAGTAGGATGAAATCTGTCTCCTTATGACTCACACATGTTGAAAGGGAAGCAATGAAAATCCATTACTAGCATGAACTCGACTCAATTGGGCCAGACTTCTGATTATTTAGAGCTTGTTCAGTRTGTAACCATGGAATCCAAGGCAAACAGTTGCTATGTTTCAAATACAACCATGAGGTCTAAAAAATGACCTCAGCAAAAGGCACAGACTTTCAACAGGAAGTTGGCTGCGGGCAATTTGTACAGATCAGAGAGATAGAAGCAGCTCAAATACCTGCTCTGAGGTTGCACACAAGATGAAAAATATGGGTAAGCATAGAGTTCTAGGAAGGATATACACAGCAAGGCACTAAAATGCTGAATTTTACCTAGCTTATTGACTATCTGAAGACTCAATCAGAAGGTCCATTTCAGAAAGACATCAGTGTAATTAACATCACAGATRACTGTCTTAAAAGGGTCTGTCAGATTCCTGAAAATATCAGTCTCAGAAAAGGTAGCATATAAAATAATATTAAGCAAACTAAAATAATCTCATTTCCTCATTAAAACCTGTCTAAAGAAATGGAAAGAGGCAGTAAGACCATCAGCTAGGAATTCTCAGTTTAATATACTACTCCGCAAATAATTACATGTTATTAGGCAGGTCGCTTAAGTGGGCTCGAAGTTCTCATGTCTATAAGATTTTGAGAGATTAATCTGAAGGGATTCACTGATTCCAAGTACTTGATTCTCTTTGCAAATCTACAATTTGGGCATTTTATCTGGCCTTGTAATTGAATTCCCAAAGATTCCATCCATTTGAAATGCAATGTATTTTTCATGGCTTATTTACCTTCATCAAAGTTATGCTTGATAGTCACCAAATAATTTTTACTATTTCCCCTCCTTTCTTTTGTCACCATCAGGCTGGATAAATCTAAACCACTTGCATCAATAAGCATATTCTCTACAGTCTTTTTTTTTTTTTTAACTTTTTCTTATGTGGTTGATAAAGGTAGAAACTTTTAAAAAATTTTTAAAAAGTGGAAAAATTCCTCTATATCTTCAATTTGATTTTCCTTAGGCCTAAATTCTCTTTATTCATCAGGCCTTAAAAAATCATAAATTCACTGCCAAGATAATCTTTCAGTACCAAATTTATATTTAGTCATGTCAATGCTAAATAGGATGAAATAAGGAATTAAATTTCTATACAAAAAGCCCAGTAATCAAGTCAAACAACAGGTTGTTAATATTTATTTAAAAATGTTTCATGGGCTGGGGATGTGGCTCAAGCGGTAGCGCGCTCGCCTGGCATGCGTGCGGCCCGGGTTCGATCCTCAGCACCACATACCAACAAAGATGTTGTGTCCGCCGAGAACTAAAAAATAAATATTAAAAAAAAATTCTCTCTCTCTCCCCTCTCTCACTCTCTAAAAAAAAAAAAAAAAAAAAAAAAATGTTTCATTAAATTCCTATCTCAAACTATAGTCACCTATTCAAAGACACACACTTTACCTTTTGTGTATTTTATTATGTTTCATTTGAAAGAATTAAGTGGTATTCCACATTCTTTCAGAAATTAACCCAGAGTCTCCTTGCCCAAGAGAAAGGAGGAGGACTGTGGGTAAGGTAGGATGTTACAAAAGCATATAATAACAATTCTCAATTCAAAAACTCCTCTGCGGTCTGGAGATATAGGTCAGTTGGTAGAGTGCTTGCCTCATATGCACAGGGCCTGAGTTCAATCCCCCCACCTCAAAAAAAAAAAAAAAAAAAAAACCAAAACCCCAAATTACTCTGGGGTGTCAGAGGTGACAATGAGGGGCCTAATGTGACAAAAAATAGGATCAAGTCACTTGATTTGACTGACAAGGCCCATGACTTGATAAGACAGGACTATGGTCAAAGGAGTTTCAAGCATACGCTAGCAGGGGAAATTAAGAGATGATTAGGTGGTGACAAAGAGAGGGCAGGAGTGTAGATGTTCTGTAAAGAATTCTGGTAGTAACAGAAAGCAGAGGGAATCAATAGTCATCTCCTGGACAGTGTAGTAAAACAAAGTGTATTTTTTCTAGAAAGCACAAACTTGGGACATAATGTTTGAGAACTGGGAAATTTAGGAATGACATGTAACATACTTCAAGACTCAACTGTATTACTAAAGTGGTAAAAGGAAGAAAAATTCAACTGAATATCCTCAATACTTTTCCATTTCTACTAAGTTGGCTTTGATAAAATATTTAAGTCTATGCAGATTAATGGTATTTTAAAATTAATACAAAGTACTAAAAACTTGCTTCAATGCTATATTACTAATGGGCAAGTAAGCATAGCTACTAGCCTTATACTAACAGAGGTTTGCCTTCTATTTCTTAATATGAACTCTTTTTTTTTGGGGGGGGGGAATAATATATATTTTTTCCCCAAATAAGCAATATATAGATACATCAGCCTTACCTGCTGATCAAACTGCCTATGTTCTCTCTGGTCTGACTCCAGATCCTCTTCTGAAAGTGACACCAAAGAGTCACCCCGTTCCTCCCCACTGAAAGAGTGTCTGAGTTCTTTTGAGTCTGCAGAGTTTACTTCTAGAGATGAAGATGGATTGTTTCCAACACCAGTTCCTCCTGTCAAGCCTTCCAGACTGAAACTGAACACAGAGCACAGGAATTAATTTAATCTGTTTGTATGTTATGGAATGGAAAGAGGACACAAAATCCCTTTAGTTTTATCTCCCTTGCTCATATAGTATTTCTGTGTCATCTACCAAAACTCTCTGTAAGGGCCTGTCACAATGAATGCCAGCCACCTTTGCCCCCAGAGGACCTGGAATGCTAAGAATACTACACATAGATCTTTTTCACTTTGTTCAACTCATCTAAATATTAAAATAATTTTCTCACATTTTTCAATAGACCATATTTATCTTACTATCATTTTTAAAAAATTAATCAGTTGTAATTAATCTTTGCCAGACTCTATCTCTGTTACATGCCAAATTTCACAGAGAAAATATTAGTAACTTCCAGAAAGCAAAGTGGCTGGTTTCTGTGTGTCGGGTACTTTTTATAACTTTACAATTACATTCTAGTTGACCTTTCCAACTTTACAGGTATACTTCTACCCAAGAAACTTTACTCTTACTCATGAGCATTACCATCTGTATTTGCCTGTCTAGATAATAACTGGTGACAGGCTTCCTGTCACCAGTTAGTTGCAGATACACAGACATTACACCTCACATTAAAGACAAAATGTTAAAAAGCTACAGGGTCTTAAGAGTTCTTCTGTCTTGATATAAGTGAAAGAAAAAAAAAACAGGGTTTGGAATTTTAAATGGGATCCTTGGGATAAAGATTCTGTGGTTTGCAATTACAAACATTTTCTGYAACAGGAAGCTACGTAGAGAGGGATTAGTTATTTATCTTCCTTGGGTCTGCAAACTTGAATAATTCGCATTTGTTATAAATGCAGTTTGAACTTCTTTAAAATAAGCAAGTTCTCAAAATATAGTTGTAGCTGACCAGGCCCTCAGTTAACAACCAGTTGGAACTATATCTGGAGGTGTACTGAAGCTATTTAGTTACCTCTGGTCTGGGAAAGCTGTACAGTTAACCGTTACAATTAAGTTCATACATGCCAGACAAAAAGCCTTCTATCTGGCATTTTTTTTTTGGCTTCATAAATTACTTATTATAAACTAAAGTCATAATGTCATGATTTTCTCTACTGGGTAAATTAAATAATAGGTTTTCCTCATTTTAATATGACAATAGAGATTATGACTAATTACAAGTAAATAGTAAAACTCATTTTCAATACTAGGAATAAGAAGAAAGGAAACTTAGTTTTGTATTGTGAGTTATTAGGAAAGCCTGAGAAAACCAGATCTATGTTTTCCACAAAACTTAATACTAAAAATATTTTGGTAATTAAATTTGGCTGCTCATTTAAAAGAAAAATATGAAATGATGAGGAGTCTCTGAATTTGGAATCTGAAGAGACTGGTGGATTTAGAAGCATAACAGAAACCAGTGCATCTTAATAACTTTCTTGCTTCTTTCATTGCTTTCCTCATCTGAGAATGTGAACAGAACAAAACAAAGAGGGCGTAGTCTACTATACAGAGACAAGTCTGTATAGAAAACACCATATCTACAGCTCTTGAGACAAACATGATACATCAGGATACATCACTGGGTTCTCCTAGGCCACACCCGTCAACTGAGTTAGTGATGCCCAGAGCAGAGACAATGGAACACTATGCCCACAGACAAAGAAAGCTGCCCATATACATTCCAGCCACACAGAAGCCAGCTAGCTCCAAGCCAAAAGCCAGATGCCATATTTTATAGTTTCTCATTTGATGGCTGGACATACAATGATACTATACCTTCTATAATTAAAGTCAGCACTCAGGGCAGCAGAGTATTGCACACCAGAAGGACACCAGCTCATACTGGAGATGACATCAAAGGCAGAAACAGAAATGGAGGGAGAAAAAGGGAAACAAGTATAGAGTTATTAGGTTTAAAAAGAAAGGGTATAGTTAGAGACTGATGGAYTTATTTAATCATCAAAAAATTTAGGAATGTAAACATTGAGAATTTAGAAAAAGGCTAGAATAATAGCCACAGAAACTTAAAATTGTTCAACTGATGTCCATTTAGACAATGTTTTTGAAAAGACTGAGATCTTTACAGGATAATCAGTCCAATCTGAAATCCAAGAATTTTCTCAAGCGATCCCCTGACAAAGGGCCTACCCCATTCCTGGCTTCCTCCTCAGACACTCTCAGAAGGGTGTTTCACCTCCACTATCGGGATGATTCCTCAATATACCACACTGCCCCCACAGCACTCTTAGGAGGAGTTCTAATCCAGGACTAAAAGGAACAGTGACAAACTGTGCTAGGGTGGGCTCACTGAGTCATCAGTTTTTTTTTTTTTCAGTGTTTTCAGTAAGGGTCCAAATTAGACCAGACAATTCATAAATCTTGCACGATATTCAGTCTTTATCACATCTTCAAAAGCTACTTACTAGGCTCATCTGCTAAAAATAAAGCATGTGATAATGGCCATATTCCCTTGGACTTTAACTATAATAAAGGAAATTTTTTTCCCCTTAGAATTCTATAGTACTGAGCTACAAATTTATCTTTTCAATTTTAGTTAATATCCATTGTGCCCACAAGATTAAAGAAAAACATAAACAAAAAAAATAATTTGATCATCTACTTCCTTTCATTGACCTGGGGTTGGAAAGGCTAAATACATATAGCCAGCTAAAAAAATAACCAATTAAAAGTATCAGTTACTCTGTGAAGGAAACTGTATCAACATGTCAGGAATCCACCCTCCCAATTCCCCCAAACAAACTTCTAGCGCTCCGAGTCAGAATTTTTGATTAACAGAAATTATCATTAAAATATATGTGGGGGGGCTGAGGCTGTAGCTCAGTGGTAGAGCACTTGCCTCTCTCGTGTGGGGCACTGGGTTCAATCCTCAGCACCACATAAAAATAAATAAAGATATTGTATCCAGGGCTGGGGATGTAGCTCAAGCGGTAACACCCTTGCCTGGCATGTGCCGGGGGTAACACGCTCGCCTGGCATGTGCGGGATGCTGGGTTCGATCCTCAGCACCACATAAAAATAAAATAAAGATGTAGTGTCCACCGAAAACTGAAAAATAAATATTAAAAAATTCTCTCTTAAAAAAAAAGATATTGTATCCATCTGCAACTAAAAAAGTATTTAAAATGTGTGTGTGTGTGTGTCTGTGTGTCTGTCTATATGTGTGTGTGTGTGTGTGTATATATATACATAGCTGAGACACATCTCTGATAAGCAGAATCAGAGTGACTTATAATTTACCTGGGTGGACAGAAACAAGACACATTTTACAAACTCAGAAATACATTTTTGAAAGATATTAATTTTTAAATTTTACACACACACACACACACACACACACACACACACACACACACACACCCCTGCAATTTGGGCCTTAAAATGTTAAGTGATATATGCTTTTTCTTCAAAAGGAATAAAAACAGAGCTGCTGGACAATAGTAAAACTGCTGGGTTCCCTACTGCCTCTTGTGAATGGGAAGGCCTGCAGGCACCAAAAACACCCATCCTGAATACACCTAAGAACTRCTTGATTGTCAAGTGGCCTTCTGGGGCAGAGGAAAGAAAATGAAGAAAGTAGCAGGGGCACAACTTCTCCTATGACTCTTATAAAAGGAAATCTTTAAATCAGCATTTGAAAATAATTTAAACACTGGGTGTGCGGTGGTGCACACCTGAAATCCCAGCGGCTTTGGAGGCTGAGGTAGGAGGAATACGAGTTCAAAGCCAGCCTCAGCAACTTAGTGAGACCCTGTCCCAAAATAAAAAATAAAACAAAGGGCTGGAGAAGTGGCTCAGTGCTTAAGCACCCCTGGGTTCAATCCCTGGTTAACACCCCCCCCCCCCAATTAAATGATATAAAAGAGTTTAAATCACATTAAAATTAATAGTACAAAGCTCATAAGTGCAAAAGCAGAAAGCAGAAATAACATAGCTGAGACACATCTCTGATAAGCAGGATCAGAATGACTTATAATTTACCTGGGTAAACAGAAACAAGATACATTTTACAAACATATGTAAGACTCAGAAATACATTTTTGGAAGATATTAATTTTTAAATCTCTAAACTGTTAATAAATTGGGCCACTGTACCTAAATATCCAACTTACTGAAAAACAGATCATGGCAAATCAGTTAACTGAATATATGTTGCCAAATAATCGTTCTTCAAAATGTCTTTCTACAGTTTAAAACATCTGACTCTCAGAACATGATAAGACTACAAAGACTTATCATGGAACATGGAAGACTGCAAAGAAATTTAAGATGAAGAACAATAGGGACCAAAAAAAGATAATAATATCTGCAAGGATCCACAGTAAACTGCAGATGGTCTATAATATCTGTCCCTTCCTTTTAGCAGAAAAAATCATTTAATAATTATGGTATTTTCTGGACAACATCATAAATTCCTTAATTCCTCAAGTAAGTAAGGGGTATAATACTGAATGGTTCTTTTTTGGCTTTGAGATTTATAAGTTTCAGACTTTTAAAAAACAAACACTTCCTCTACTCTCCTTTGGAATGTTTCAATTTTATAAACTTTAAATTATACATCATGTTCTTCCTAAAAAAAAAAAAAAAAAGTTTCACTAAGGGTAAAATTGTAACTGGGCTTATTTAAATCGATATGCTAACTGCCTCCAGTAACTTGCATCCTCCACCCTGTCATCAAGTGCACGTTTTAAAAAGTTCATAGTGAAGAACTTCTAATACAGAGCCTGACAAAAACATTCCCAAAGATTTTAGAATACCTTTTATTGAAGAAGGCATTTGAACAAGTTCCTCCCCTGAAGGGCAATTTAATCAAAGACATGATCATTTAAGATTCATGATACTGTTTGAATTTAAGCTCAATTTTTGGCCTAAAATATGGAATTAAAGGAAGGACTCACTTGAAAAAGATGAAGTAGGTGAATCACTATTTGCCTGATTCCCAACACACTTAGCTGATAGATAAAAATACTTCTTTATAAATCTCTCTCAATATGAGAACCTAATATTAACAGAATTGTATTTTCCAAATAATGGATGAATGACTTCTAAACTTTATTGTTATTTTAATTAGTAAAACAAATTGTAGCTTTTGGCAAATTTGAAGCACATCAGCACTTCTGTGATTAGAAGTAACTTAGCTTACAAATTACTTATTTTTAGCTTCAAATTCTTATCCAACACAATAATTAAGGAATTCAAAGGCTTATGCCTCTTAATTGCTTTCTGAAATGACAACGTCAACAACAGAATGGAAACTGCCAACTGACCTAGTAATAAAGTCTTTCATCATATTATTAAAGAATGTGTTGAAAATATTTAGGACCTGTGTGTAAGCACATACATATTTCTGATTCTTCTTTTCCAGAGAGAAAGAGAAAGAAAGGTATTCCCCCGGATCCATTATATAGGCACAACAYAGAAAATACTTTGAATTCTCCAATAAAAGTTGGGTGAGACTCTATTACCAAAGTTATCTGAACCAAGAAGCACAAGATGAAAAATATATTTCAAATATTTTAAGAAAATAGGAAAAAATTTAAAAAATTACTTCATATAGAATTGACATAAGCAATTAATAAGTATTGATATTTTATTTGCCTGAATTAGAAGTGATGTTATTTAAAAATAGACTGTTCAAGGGGCTGACAGTTATAGCKCAGTGGAAGAGCTCTTGCATAACATGCAAAAGGCCCTGGGTGTCATCTTTAACACTGAGKGGGGAGGAGGTGGGAAGAGGGACAAGAAATTGTCTAATTATGAATTAAGCAGGATGAAATGCTTGTTAGTATATGCTCAGAGGCGACATGGTTAGTCCATCAAGTTTGTGAACTCTGTACCTTCTCCTATGAATGGGAGGTCTCCTGACAACATCCCCAAGAACTCGCATTGAACTGAAAATGAATGATGGAAGAGGTCAGTGATGCAGGTGAAAYAAAATGAGGTACAAATGCATGAAATAATCAGACACCACACTGGGAAAAGAGATAATCCCCAAAGATAAATAGCACAGGGAGTAAGAAAATGAAAGAATGTAGAATGAGAAAAATATCAGAACCAAAAAGGCCTGACAGATTCTGTGAAGGGCTACTTATCAAGATGACAACTTACTAAGTTTATTATATTATAAAAGTAAAGGGATCAGAAAAAAGTGTCATTCAAAACTTTAAAAGGATTTTCCTTAAGACTTTAACATCCAGGTAACACTACATGCAGATAACACCAAAAGAACCAGTCAAACTATTAGAGTGATAATTAAAACCTAATTCTCATTCCATTATTTCCCAAAGTATTAAAAATAGTGGTGGTAGGTAATCCTTAGCACTAAATTAAAACAGGCAATTCATGACCTACAGGTTAAAAATATAAGCAACTTATGTTATAGGGTTCTAATCTCTGATCTTACAATCATCATGTAATCTTGGACATATCATCTAATATGAGCTTCAATTTCCTCATGTGCACTATATGATATACAGTAGCATGGAGCTCTGAAATCAAATCATGATTCACGGTAAGTTATTAAAAAATGTGTTTATATATAAAATTAACACTTATTCTGGGATGCTGTTTGCATCTAACACAAGGATGTCCTATCAAGAAATTCCCTTAGGCTGGGGTTGTGACTCAAGGGTATAGCACTTGCCTAGCACGTGTGAGGCACTGTGTTCAATTCTCAGCTCTGCAAATGAATAAATAAATAAGACAAAAAATTTTAAAAAATTTTAAAAAAGAAAAAGAAAAAGGTCCATCAACAACTACAAAACATTAAAAAAAAAAAGTTCCTTGCTTCAGGGAGAAAATTCTGGTTGTAGGGATCATTCCCCATGTTCTCATATTTTCTACTATGTGAATGCTTTTGCAAAATACAGTTTGTTTAAAACTTGGAAGGAAAGCAGTAAGAAACTGATTTTTATATAACCTAGGATTTGTTTTGTTTTGGTACTGGAGATTGAACCCAGAGGTACTTTACCACATCTCCAGCCCTTTTTATTTTGAGGCAGGTTCTCAGACTGTTTCAGCTGAGTTGTTTACAACATTTAATCATCAGTCTCCTCTSTTAGCCTGGTCTCCTCATAAAGAAAGTAGAATAGGTATAGCCTGGTAAATACTAGGTATGTGTTCTTAATAGGTAAAACACCTGCTTGAATTCATAAAGGCAGCCAGTGTTTAGAAGCCAAATCCAACTTATCTTCTGTTTTGGTTACTACCAAACTGAAGGACTAAGATTGGGCCAAACTTGCAAAAATCCCTCAAAGCATATGACATGTGGTGAAATACCAATAAGGTTATAATATTTCCTGAGTCTTGTGCTCTCCTGAGGATTAAAAATTGATCATTTAGACTTCATCTAAACTTTCTGCATTAGAAACAGAAGGTCCAGGAATCACTCTAAAAAACTGAGATGTGTCAAGACTGTTAAGACTTCATGTTTATTTCTTAATTGAAAATTGACAAGAAAGTATTCCCTCTAGTATTTTCTTTTYTTCTTCTTCCTTTTGTTGGGGGTATCAGGAATTGAACCCAGGAGTGCTTAACTACATCCCTGGCCTTTTTTTT